GAGTCCTTTTTAATGCCAATACAAAGTCTGATCCCGATATTTACATGGAACTAAATGCTGATTAAACATGTATCTGATGCACTGAAATATAACGGGTGTAGCTTACTAAGTGTGTCATACCTTATTTTTGGCTGGACTGCAGCAAAGCGGTCAGTCAGCACTATAAACCCAGAAGTGCGGCAATGACTGAGTGAAGTTACACCAGTGGTCAGTCGAGTTTTGTTTCCTCATAGGCTGAATAGGCGCCAATGTTAGTTGCATACTGTTACTCCAGATTCTATGAATATAAACGCAGGGCTCTAAGGTTATCGCTCGTTCATCCCTCACTTGACTTTTAGTCTATGCCAACTTACTACACGGGCCACACCTTGGTCTCACCTTGTATATAAATAGGGACATGACAGTCGGCTCCTAAAACGGCTTTTTCCTCACGTAGTTAAATTAACCAGAGTGACTCATTGAAAAAAGCAGAAACATCACAATGAGCTCATATTGCCTGAGAACACCAAACAGTTTTATTTTGAGTGTTGTTGACAGTGGTTTTGGTCATGGGAGGGTTTTGCTACCATGATGGGATGAGTATTTTAAAAAAGTGAAGCGAAAGTGACTCTTCACTCGTGAGACTAGCAAAACGTGACTCACTGAAAAAGGAGGAACATCCCGCACAAAGAAACAAATGAAAGTGTGGGGGCAGTTAATAGATAATTAGTACCAGTTCAAACACCTTAAGATATGAATGGAAAGTTAATGTTCTTGCTACTGTATTTAATTTTTATTTATTTATTTTTTTTTTTTACCCAAACATAACTAAACCATGTCATGTGATCTGCTACTTCAGCACACTTTAAGAACAAATATTTGTGGACCACTACAGAAAATTGCAGATAACATTTCATATCCAGGAATTTACAATTTGGTCACGGTATAGCACGCTGACCATACACGGTCCAGCCATATGCTAGGTTTCAACCTAGTCTAGTTGAAAGTCCTGTTCCAAAACTGAATTTTAAAAGCTTGAACTTTCACTTATATTGTATCTACAATTTAAATGGATAATGCGACTCCTGAAATGACCAGCTATATTGTTTTACTAGAGAAGAGTTGTCACTCTGTTGGAGTTGTGGGAGACTACAAATACACTCCGTCTCCACATGCGATTGTACAGTGGAGTTGGAGCCAGACACCAGCTTGCAGAGAGCAGACAAACAGAAACCTGATAACAAACAAGTTTAATTTTGGCCCGTTATCAAGTGACAACTGATATGACCTGCTGCTGGCAACTATTTTTTATTTTTTTTGTAATGATGAAATGACCGTCAGCACCGGGTAAAGAGAAGCTGCTGAATGTTTTGTACACTGCTGCGTGCTGCTAAAGATAGAGTAGAGGTACGGATTGGTTAGTTTGACTTTTGTTGTTAGTTGTATCAATATCACCTAATTTTACTGAATAAAATAATTTAGTCATTACTTGTTGAAGGCTATAAGTAATCTATACACATGACTGAATAATTTCAGACTGTTTTGCAGTCCCAGTTAGGGGGCACTAAAGTAAATGGAGAGTCTGTTCTAATTTAATTTCCCTCTTTTCTCTCTCTCTACAGATCAGTCCATCCTCCATTCCCCTTTGTACCTTTTTTCATCCCCCCCCTGTCTTGGAGTTTTTTTTTTTATGTACAGTTTCTGTCTGTCTTCCTTTTTTGGATGCCACCATAAGGAATGTGTATTTTGATGGATGCGTTTCGGAAGAACTCATTTGCCTTTTTATAGGGCTCTGTGCTGCACCACCCCACCCTGAAGACATAAGCACCTCGAGGAAAGCATGGGACCAAGTTGAAAATATATATCGATGCACATCGTGACGATTCATATCCACGAATGACACAAAGCCAGCACCAACAGACCGCTATGTGACACCCTCCATTCTCCATTTTTTATTTTGGAAGTTTTAACCGATTTGTATCAAGTGCCTTAACAAGCAGTTCAACTCGTTCTAAAGTAATAACCCTTCATTTTCCACCATCTTACTCACTTCATACCGCACAGTCACGTTCACCTAATTGAAAATTCGTCACACTAATTTAATGTCAGACCACATAGGTGAATTCATAACTGTTTTTGGTTGTGTCATCCGTTTGCAAAGAATGGAGATAATTAGGATGGAGGCTGGTCTGAATTATCTTTTTGCTGGCTTAGCTGCACTTCTATCTGGCTGATGAATGAGGACACACTTGGATTTTCCATGGACAGAGATGCTGGATTTTATTCCAAGAGGCAGCCAGACTGTCCAGTTGCTTGTGAAGAAGCTTGTGCTTCTAAAAGACCCAGACCCTTTCCTCTGTCTTCAGCTTTAGAACACTAAAAATGAATAAGCAGCCTGTCAACACCATGAGTCATGAGGATTCCGGTTTTGGGTGGAGATTAATTGTAGGGAACGCTTTTTTTTTTCTTTCCTTTTTATGTCCTGTGTTTCACTTTCCTATGGATGGCCATACTTCTGCGAGCCGTGCAGCCGGCGTGGGTTGCACCTTACACCTTGTGTATATATCTTCATTTTAAGATTGTTTTAAACAAGTTCAAAAGGCTGGCTGACAAACTGAAAAGCTTTTCCCCTTCTCTCTTGTTAGCACTGGAGACTGTTTCCTTAATTGCCAGTTTGTTTGATCTGCAATATTGGCCTGTGAATTTATTTATAATTTTAGAAATTGCAGAATTTATTAGAATCTAAAACATTTAAATGACCTTGTGCATGAAATGTTTTTGGAGGCAGAGTTCAACACTGATAATCTTGTAGCCCCTCCAAATTTGATGGCAAGTGCAATTTTTCAAAGCTGCACTTAAACTGAGATTGTTTAAATTGTCGCCCTTATTCTCCTGCTACCAGTGTTAACAAGTGGTAAGTCTAGACAGATGGCTTTGTTAAGCTTGTGCATTTGAGTAATGAAATCTTTGTTGTCACCAGCCTTAACTTGTGAAATGGACTCTTGAGACACACTCTTAAGATCTCCAGTTACAGTGAGTGTTGTTGGAGAAGAAAATAATATTCTATCATGTAGTAGTACTACTCGCTGCAGTGCAGCTGAATTGGCAGAGAATTTGTTTTCTGGGGGAGGAATTAACTGTTACGTTGATCTATGGGCTCTTTAGCACAGTTTCATTATTTCACAAATGTTAAGGAGGAAGCTGTGGATTTATTTTCCCCTTTTTGGAAGAGTGACGGCCGAATGCATCAAAATGAACCATCTGACCTAAAATGTAGCAGGAATTCATTCTCTGTGCATTGCATGTTAGCTGGCTTTGCTCAAACCAGCTATCAAAAGATGCTTCGACAAAAACAACCCGAGCAGGTTGGGCTGCACTTAACACACAGAGATGGGTTCAGGCAATAACACTGACTGCACTGCTTTTTGTACACTCACGATGCCCAAATGAGAGAGAAGTGTGCAGAACATTCATTTAAAAAATTGGCACGTACGGGGAATGGGCAAGAAGGATTACAAAATTACTATTAGTTGGACTGCTCGTTCAAAAGATAACTTGGGCACCTCAGACTGCTGAGGTTATGGCTTATTTCTCTGCCCTTTATTGCTTTGATATGTGGGGTTTGGGTTACGGTTTCTTTTTGATTTTTATTTCTTTTTATGCAACGTGATAACCTTATTTTGCATCAAGGCGTTCTGACCACTCGATTGTTCAGCTTAAGCCTTTTCGCAAATGAGGTTCCCTTCGTTATGGTGAGATGCTCTCGACTGTTCTAATCAATGAGAATTATTATTGCACATTTAATTTAAGCTCTTTTTAAAAGATGATAAAAGATGACTATTGATCAGTTTACGATAACCATTTTATTTCTCATTGGTTAGGACTGTGATCCCTGTTCTCTCAGTTCTATTGTTGTCCCCTTTAAATACTTGCACATCTGATTTGGCTGATTTGGCTAACTTTTGGGTGGGAGGGCTGTGTTTGTGAAAAATATCCAAATGAAATGAATCATTAGTTGAGGGAACAGGGATCTAACTGTGCAGGCACTTGGCAGCTGTCTGTTTCTTGTCAGCCCACTGGCAGTAATGGCCACAGCAAATGCTTTCAAAGCTAAAATCAACAATCCTTCGAGATTTAGTGTATTGCTACCTTTTGATGGGGTGCTGCCTTACGGCCAGTGGCTGCCATTTTGAGAACCTTAAAGACTGAGACAAGAGCATCTTGCCCCAGATTGGGTGATTTAATTGGACAGTTAGTGGAACAAAATTGTCTCATTCTTTAAGGTCTTTTTAAATTCTGGGGAGGGAGGGTTAAATTAGTGCTCTTGCTGCCCTGATGCATACGTTCATCCTCTCTTGATAGTCTCAAACAACGTTTATAATAACACGTTTTGTGTACAATTTGGCCGTGGTTTAATTTTTCTGCAAATGGGGATGTGAGAGGAGCCTGTTAAGGATTCCTTTCAGGACTGATGCATCAGTGAAATAACGGGAGGGAGGGAGGGAGGAAGGGAGGAAGGAGGAGGAGGAGGAGGAGGAGCCTTTAGGGCATTACAGAAACGGGATGGTACGATCTAAAGATCCAAAGTTATGGTAATGGGTTTAAAAAGGTTTGGAAAAAGTTGCCCTTAAATTTGGAAGTTTTTTTTTTTCAAATGAAATGTTCAAGTGGAGTACACCTTATTTTAAAAAAGTCTCCAAATTTAAGTGAATTTAAAGCCTGAGTTCATTTTTTATTTTTATTATTTGATGGAAATTTGGTCGTTATTTAATTGGCAGATTTTTCAGTGAAGCTAATTTTACAATGGACTTAAGTTCAACGGATGTCATCAATATTATTGGAAAAGATTTGAAAGTTTTGTTGAAAATAAAGCTCACTGAAATTTATTGTGTCTGAAGCTTTTGTTTTCCTCGGCCACCACTGCAGTGTCCTGTTAATCCGCTCTTTCAAAGCTAGGTGTCAGTGTGTTGCTGCTGTTCTGTCTTTTATATAAACTGACCTGGAGGCAGTGCTCAGACTTACTCGTACTCTGGAGTCACTTCAGTTCGTAGCTCAAGATGCGTAACTTGATGGTATTTTGCTTGCCATCAGTGGCTCTGTTTGCCTGTGTGAAGAGTGCTTTTCCACCACCATGTGACAGGTGAGATTAATGTCTGAAAGGGTTTTGTTGTTGAGGTACTGTAAGTCAAGTTCTTCTTGTTGTTGAACCCCTGTTGCTTGTGAAAGAAAGTTATTGATTTATGGCTGTAAAACTGATCTTAAAAACATAATCTAAAACATGTCTCTAGGCACCTCAGACAGACTTTGCTTTAATTCCAATGTGCTGCCAATAATTATTGATCTGTTGACTTTAATACTACTGTAATACTTGCAATCAGAACTATTGGATTGCCTCTTTTGTTGCCAAATGACTCACGATTTATAGAATTTCCCACATACTGTATTTGAATTTTCGATCTTAGCAGCTTTAATCTGTCTTGTTCTTGTTTAACAAACTGTTTATGGGATATCAGCCTTCTGCTGCTGCCGGACCCCTGCAGGGGTTGTTTCTTTTTAGTAAATGTTAAATCCACAACGTACTGGAGCCGGCAAACGGACATTTATTTATATATATATATATATATATATAATATAGTTTTTTTTTTTTTTTTTTTCTCATTGAGCCTCTATTCAGTTGTCAGCAGACCTTTGCCCTCACCTGATATGGTTTTATTGCTTCCTTTTAACAGGACTGTGACAAGGTGGTGATGCATTGTACGAATACGCAACCTTTTATCTGTTTAATAATTAATCTCCATAAATGAATTTCAGTGAAATATACTGCACTGGGCCCATCCTGCATCAGGTACAGACATTTAAACTGTTTGATGATGACAAGTACTTTGTTGACATGCAGATGAGGGAACCTCCTGGTAAGTCGAATCTCAGTTAATTATTAACTTAATACATTTTTTTTTGGCATGACAACAATGTGTGGCCACCTTTTTTTGCCCCTTGTGTCTTTTCCTGCAGATGTTGTTTTGTCAGCTTTTCGCAACCTTTCTCAAAGCTTGCCAACCCCGACTGTTCCGCCTGCCCAACTGCGGAAGTTCCTCAGCACATACTTTAACAAACCAGGTGGAGAGTTTGTCTCATGGACGCCACCAGACTGGCACGAGAAGTGAGATCCAGTTATTAGATGTCTCGTACTCAGATGTTGCTCTAACTTTTCATCTGTGCTTGGTTGACGTGAGTTGATTTTTACATGCAGGCCGAAGTTTCTGGCAGGAATAGCAGACGAAGAACTACGCAACTGGGCTGAAAACATACATAATCTGTGGAAGTCTCTCGGCAGAAAGGTGAGGATAATGAGTAAAGCTCCAACGCTACGGACATTAATCACCAACTATTTGGTAATAAATCATTTTTAGTCATTTTTAAAGATAAAATGCACTAAATTGTTTCTGATTCTCTAGTATGAAGTTTTGACTAAGATTAGTCTTCTATGATGGTAAATTGAATATCTTGATTTTCTGTTGGACAAAACTAGCAATTCAAATATCACAAATTAAGCTTTAGGAAATTGTGATGCACAAAGATTATTCTTTTGATACTTTGTAGACCAAATTATTAATGGAAAAATATTTCAGATTTATCAGAAATGAAAACAATCATGTGTTGTAGCCCCAATAATGAAGTTTTCTTTAAAACATGTATTCTGAGACAAACTTTTGAAAGTGAAATATTTCTCCTCCAGATCCGCACTGATGTTAAAGATCACCCAGAGCTCTACTCCCACATATACACCCCACATCCTGTTATCGTGCCGGGGGGCCGCTTCAGGGAACTCTACTACTGGTGAGTGAATGATGGAGCCTGTCTCTCAGCTGTCTGTCTGAGAGTTAAGAGAAGAGTGAGGTCAGAGCGAGGAGAGATCACAGCCCGGCCCAGCCAGGGGTCTCTGCTGTGAGCCCATGAGGTGCCATGTGCAGACAGTGACGTGAACCACTCTGTGCCCAACAGGGACTCCTACTGGGTCATCAATGGGCTCCTGCTGTCAGAGATGACAGACACGGCCTACGGGATGATTCAGAACTTCCTCTACCTTGTCAACAGGTGAGCCTCAAAGCACCAAGTCCAGTTCGCTGCAGGTAGTTCCACAAGCTCATTTTTTAATAAGTAATTTAGTAACCCGACTTGTACATTTTGGAAATCTCAGTGGGGGTACTTCAAGATTTTTGAAATAAAATATATTTCTTTCTGTCACTCCTACAGATATGGCTTCATTCCAAACGGTGGGCGGATTTACTATGAAAGGCGCAGTCAGCCTCCATTCCTCACTCTAATGATGGAGAGCTACTATCAAGCAACCAAGGATAAAGAGTTCCTCAGGTGATATTTAGACCTGAGCTGATGTCCTGCCAGACACATTATCATTCTGCAGCTGCCTCGCGTCCCTTCAGAGCAGGAAAAAAAAGACACAGGCATATTAAACATCAAAACCTCAGTGCTCCTGTCTCTCTGTGCCTCCGGTGTTGTTTTTTTTCTAACATGCTTAATTAGAATGTGACACCCCAACTTTTGTGTGTAATGATATTAAGGACTGTGAAGAGTAGACTGAATTAAAACATTGCTCCCTGCTGTCTGCACAAACTTGCGTGGTTTTAGAGCAGCTTTACCAGCGCTGGAGCAGGAGTACCGATTCTGGATGCAGAACCGTTCTGTGGCTGTGACAGTAAATGGTGCGGAGTACGAACTGAACCGTTATCATGTGCAGGTGGGCTTGCCCAGGTATGTTGGAAACTAATAAATAATAAAAACAAATGTAAGATACGTGGGTACAGTAAGGGGTTCCTTCACCAACAGTAACAATGTACTTTGTTCTTCCTAGGCCTGAATCCTACAGTGATGATCTGGAATTAGCTGAAGGACTCACTGCTGGTAATAATAGCTAATTAGTGTTGAGCATGAGAAATATTACCCTGCTATGGTTATTTTATTCCATTAGAGAGAGAGAAATGAATGTACTGTTGTTTCTAATTGCTCCTAAACAGGAAAGTGTAAAATGTTCCCCTGGATTCAAGGATCATCTGCGCAAAACAAATTTGCTCTGAAAATACCTCAGTACCATGTTGTAATGAATATTTAATGCTAAACACACTCATTCTTTCACACTGCCGCAGAACAATTTTAAAGAAGAGCAGTTGGAAGGGAGAAATACATTTGTTGTTCACTGAAATCTTGAATTTTTCTGCCACCAATGTGTGTTTGCTCTAACACATTTTAGAGGTCATTAAGTTATTTCCTCCTCCTTGGAAGAGACGTTTAATAAAGCTTAAGCTTTTGAAAAATGTTGCACTAAAACATTTTGTTCAGAGGCTGCTTATTTAACTTTTTGCTCTTCCACTTAACAAACAAGACGTACATGAATAAGTTCCACATTTCAGAGGTTGATTTGATGTGGCTGTGCTGGTGGATTCATGTTGTTTTCCTGCCCTCAGAGCGTAAGGAGCAGCTGTGGATGGATCTGAAAGCGGGTGCAGAGTCTGGTTGGGACTTTACATCCCGCTGGTATATAGATGGTGACGGCCACAACAACGGCACCCTCAGAGAGACCCGCACCAGTCAGATCCTGCCAACTGACCTCAACGCTCTGCTGTGCCTCAATGAGAAGACTCTTGCTTCATTTCACAGGATATTGGGTGAGTATGTGAGCAGCCTTTGACCTTGAAACTAACTTTGGTTTGCGCAATACTTTGAGCTCCTAACTGCTGTTACATAACGGTGATGTGCCGTTTCCTGACAGGTAATGGTGACTCAGCTGCACTGTATGACCAGGCTGCTGCTCGCAGACTGGAGGCGATAGAGTCTGTGCTGTGGGATGCTGAGAGGGGAGCTTGGTTTGACTACAACCTGGTGACGCACTCCAAACACTTTGAGTTTTACCCCTCCAACCTGGCACCTGTTTGGGCACAGTGCTATTCTCGGCCTGAGATGGGAGAGAAGGCAGTACAGTATCTGAAGGTTGGTGGACATTCGAGGCTCCATTGTGGTCTCAAAGGGTCGGTTCAAGTGACAAAGATACACTTTCTTCTAATGGTACCGAGCTATTCAGATGCAATAAGTCTGGTTTAATTTGAGCGGGTTTTCAGATAGTCGTTTCTAAGATCTCCTGTACAGTGAAGGTGTGTATAATTTTGATTGAGATAATTAAAGAATTGGGGGTGGAGGGGATGCATTAAAAAAAAAAAGAAACAACTTGTCTTTACAGGACCAATGCCCCTGCCCAGAGCACGCTGTCAACAGGGACTATTTTTTAGGTTAGTAATTCCAATGAAAAAGCCAAATTGCCAATTACCCTTCAGCCAGCAGCAAAATGTAAGAGACAGATATCTCAAAACCTGGACTCTGGAGCTCGATACCATTAGGGGTGAGTAACAAAACACTCATAGGCCATGTTATTAGATACATCCGTACAATCTATCAATCAATTGTGTGTCCTGAATGGTTTCTTTTTTAGGAAATGAAAATAAACTGGTGTTCTTACAATAACCGAACACTGTTTTCAAATATTATTGGCACGATAGAATATTGCATTAGATTGTATAGGTGTTCTTAATAAAGTGCCCACTGAGTGTATGTATTTATACCATTTGTGTGAAAGAACCTTTAACCTGTATTTATCAAGACAAGGTTGAATGAGCGTGGATGATTATGTTTTCACAAATGTCAACACAGCTGCCCAGTATGACTGGTCTACTCTTGTTTGCCACTGCAGCTCCATTCTAACCATTTACGCACACCAAAATTAAACTGCATTATTTCCCCAACATTTTTCTTAAGGTTCGCCTTTTCCATAAGTTATTAAACTGCAGACCCCTGCTTAAGTGACATATTTTATGGATATTTCATGATATTCAAAACCATACAGTGAACCCAAATAGTGACCTCAGTAACTACTGGAAGTTTGTGTAAAAGGAGTTATTTGGATAAATTCTGAGCAGATAATTTCCTGTTTAGCAAAACATTTTGTCTGTAATATATATTTTTCAATAGTTTTTAACCATTATACAGACTTAATAGGCTTCTTTTTGGACAAATTCAAATTTCTCACACCCCTTAAAATCCAGAAGGCCTTGTGACCCCCGAAGAAGCTTTAGCGACCTAGTGGAGACCCTGAACCTCAGGTTTGGCACCACTGTGCTACAACATGTATACCCACATATACTCACTTGTCCTGTGTTCTCATTTGAGAAAAAATATCTGAAAACAAAAGGTAGAAATGAACGTGTATTTCATGATGGCACTTTGTAGGATGTATCGTAGTCAGAGCAGAAAGCACTGAGCCAGACAGCAGCCTGCTACACAACATGACAACCCACATTAGGTTTCTGCTAATGTCTCTTCCTCTAACTTACAAACGCAAACACGCCTTGTCAGCTGCACTTTTTTGAACGAGCCACCAAACAAACATTCAGCTGGAAAAAGTGCAGTGCTAGTCGTCTAGTTTGCAGGCTAGATGGTTAATTATATTCTCAGCTGCGGCACATTAAAGCGTGTAAACGTAGCTGCAAATGTCACCTCAGTTTGGTTAGATGCTGGTGTGGTTTTTACTCTTCAGTACCACTAACAATGCGCTGTCTGCCTGTGATACGTAGGCTCCAGCACAAGTTTGTTTACTTTGTCATTCCCATAGCTGCTGTCAAACAAACAGACGCCAACACACCTCTCCAGCTGGCTGGGGAAATATAATGCTCATTTTCTTCTCAGACCTATTAACAATACATTTAAAAAAAAAAAAAATGTGCTGACATTATTTTTGACTAGATGTGATTTCCGTTGGACTTCTGCTGAAGTGCTTCTTGGCAGGAAGGCGTGATTGTTGCCTATTTTATTTCCCCACCACCATGTTCAGCATGAATCCTCCCTCCTCTCTGAGTCCCACCTCGTAGGATGTTACATGTGCTTTATGGACTGCTCATTTGCTCCAGCAGATGGCGCACACACACTACACTGGCTTCCTCCAATCATGCTCCTGTGGTTGCTCTTGCTCTTCATGTCTGTACAGGGCAGTGGTGCTCTCGAGTTCCCCAATGGAGTTCCAACGTCGCTGAGAGAGTCTGGGCAGCAGTGGGACTATCCTAACGCATGGCCCCCCCTGCAGCACATGCTCATCGATGGTAGGTTGCAATCAGTTGATCTGTCATGATGAGAATTTCCTGAAACCTGTACTGATTATTCACCAATTGCTCAACGTGTTGCTCTCTGGTAGTCGGGTGGTAATGCTGTATTTCTCGCCTCTAGCTTTGTACTGAAATGACACAAAGCAGATGAAATACTAGCCTTCAGGTTTAATTTGAGCGTGTTTACAATCACACCTTTTTAAAGGTATCCTGTGGACATTCCTTGAGTGTATCCTTGAGTTGAATGCTGAATGTATTTAACCCCCGCTGAAAACATTTGCGAAACCAATTTTCTTGAAGCGTTAAACTGGCATTGTTATCATCCTCATTTGCTCGTGGGCGGTCTTCTTCCTTGCTTTCACTGGCACATTGTTGCATTTCTCATCTGTATCTGGTGGAATATTTGAAAGCACTGGCAGGAATGTGTCTCCGTATCATCTGCATGCACGTGTGTCCTTACGCACAGCAAGATTAGGCACCCACTTGCTATATAGTGCAACCAGTGATAAAAAAAACTGTTTTTTTCTGTTTATGGGGGCAGAAAGTAATTGGACAAGTTGCATATATAGTCATCATATTTATTATTTGACTTCAAATCCAACAATCCCACAGACATCAGCAGACACTTGGAGTCTGCCCTTGTGATGCTCTGCCAGGGCTGCACTGCAGCCAGCTTCCAATCTTGCTTATTTCGAGGGATTTTTGCCTTTAGTCTGGTCTTTAGCAAGTGTGACACATGATCAGAGAGTGACTGATTTCTTGCCCTAAAAACTCCCTGGTTGCTTAGTCTGTGTGATTAGGATCACTGTCCTGCTGAATCTTTCCTAAAACTGGAGGATTATGTATTAATCTCACACACACGCACACATAAAAGGGCGATGACTTCAACAAATACATTGAAGCCTGAGGGTCAGCAGTCATAGTCATTGTCAAAGTAATTTCAAATCCAATCCGCTGTCTGAGTACAGAGTAAACACAACAGTATGTCACGTACCTAATATTGTTTATACTTAAAGCAACCTCATGCTTTAAAAGACTTTCTTGGGTTTATGCAATAATCCAAATCTTCTTGTATTTCCAGGTTTATCCAAACTGCCTTCAGCAGATGCTAAACAACTAGCATTTGATTTGGCCCAACGTTGGATCAAGACCAACTGGGTGGCATACCAGAAGTATAAAGCCATGTTTGAAAAGGTGAGTTTTCTTATAGTTTAAGTATTTCAGAGCTGGTGTTGTGCAGTGATAACGCAGCTGGCTCAGAATGTGTAATTTTCTTCCTCTTTGACAGTATGATGTGAACGGAGATGGCAAACCCGGTGGTGGAGGAGAATATGAAGTTCAGGTATTTCTTTTCATGTGCTGACGGTAAAACTAATGTGCTTATAGTCACACGTCTTTGTAATTTCATGCAGAGCCTTTTCAATTCTTTCTACCTCACTTGAACTTGAACACACTTGCATACTCATGCACATATATACTTTCACTTCTTTATCAGTATCTTCCTTTTCTGTGTAATTTTCTTGTTGTCATATACTTTTCACTTTGGTTTTCTTACTATTTCTATTAGAACAAATTAGTTTTATCTTTCTCTTGAATTCCGTCACTTTTTCTGCTTTGCTAAACAAAAAAATCCCTTATTCTCCGCTGTGTTGCCCTTTCGGTAGCTGGGTTTTGGTTGGACCAATGGCGTGGCCCTGCAGCTCCTGGACCAGTATGGTGCGACTCTCACCTCAGGTAGCAGTCGTGTGTCTTCCTGCCTCCTGCTGCCTCTGGTCATCTCAGCTCTCATGCTGCAGTGAATCAGAGGTGACAAAAATGCATCATTCCTGGTTTCACTGCACTAAATCACTCCAGTCCACTGACAGACTTCAGACAAACACCAATTGACATACAAAAATAGACTAAATTGTGCCTATTTGAACATGTTTTGATATTTTGCTAAATCCTATATAATCAGATGATGTTTATTTGCAAAAGGAACAGGATATGATTTATCATAACTAAGAATTCCCTCTATGAATATTTTAGTATTTATCCTCAGAGGTAAATTATCTCTGGCAATATCAGAGGATGCAGATCATGTAGGCACTTCTGGACTCTCTCCAGTAATGCCGGCTGCTTGTTGCTGCTTGGATCACAACATTAACTTGTCTCAGATATTGAACTGACATTACAGACAGTCATTCACCTAATTCAATTATAAGGTTTATTGCTGAACTGTAGCTGAGGCCTTCTATTTATCTATCTATTTGCATGCGAACTGAAGCTGTAAATGAAAAGATGTAAACGACCTCATGTGAGAAACAAAATGTGAAGTGAATGCATTAATGTTTAAAACATAGCACTACTTATTATATCTGACTTCAAGACTCTTTTATTCAAATTTTAGAAGTCAACCAAGGAATTTTAAATGACAATGTAGCATTTTCAATAAACTTGCAAGGATTCACTTTCTTTGGCATCATTTCATCTTCCTACGTATACCTTTACAAAGTGCACATGTTAAAATTAACTTTATTTTTAACAATACATGGCACAAATATATATGGTGGCAGTTTCGCTGCTTCACAATAAAAGGCACCCTGTATTCCACCAGCTGAAAGCTTTTAATGTTACACAGTAGCAGTGGAATATTGGGTTTACATTAGTGGTAACTTAATACAGCTCTGACACGATGTAAAGAGACTGAACACTGAACAGTGAGGCCAATATCAGCAAGATAAAATTACACTTGATTACACGCATGCCTTGTAAGTACAAAATCCAGCTTGGGAATGGCAGACTGGATAATGCCTGAAAAACACAGACGGGCCTATCTAGAACCAGTGTTTGGGTTCTCTATTCTGTTCATTCTAAGGCAATGAAAACATAAATATTCTAAGTTTTAGATAATGATAAACTAATGAAAACTTACCTATGAATATTGTATTAAATTTCTCCCAACAGATCCTCCTAAATGTTACACACTGGGCCTTTTAAACAGTCTACTTTGACATTATGGGTTATTGTGTTTAGGTGACTGATCTCGTCTTATTCCAGTTTGAACTAAAAAGTCGAAAAGGCTTGAAAACTTCATGAAGCCACTGTAAACATTTGACTAACTCGCACAAACGTACCATTACTCTAAAAAAGAAACAAAGTCAACATTTTTTGCCATTTCAGATTGTTCCATGCGAGTCATTCTGTCTTTGCCATTTCTGCTTACATCTTTGGTGAAATGCAGGTCAAGCATGAAATTAAGTCCATATAGATATTCAAATGGTTGTTAAAAAAAAAAACCCCAAAAAAAAAAGGAGGGGGGGGTATTGAGAAATTTGAAGAAGAAATTGCATCCTCTTGGCTATGAAGATATGAGGCCCAAGCTGGGATTTCACTGCATCTCTCTCTTTAGCATGAGTGCACACAACAGATTGACAATGCAACTTAAATAGGCAAAAGGCCAATAGGTGCAGTGGACCGTGCAACCCCAAAAAGATCACACTCTAGTAATGTGCTATTGTGAGTCTCCATCTACAAGTCATATCGCTGCCTTTTTTTTTTTTTTTTTTTTTTTTTTAACCCCACGCACATCTGTGACACCCATACAGTAGCAGTCGTGTGTATTGTGCTGTGTTCACAGAGGTTTAAGCAGCAGGCAGCAGTCATTATGTTTTCAGTCCTCGCTGACAGCGGTAACTCAAGTAGAACCTGCTCCTTTTGATAACTCACACATTACCATGCCGTTTTAGCAGAAATGTGCTGTGTTCAGTTAATGAGATGGAGCTGTAAAGTGTGGGAGAAGTTGTCCGGCAGTTAAGTGCCGATGAGGTGAGACCGCGACGTGTTTGTGTTTGTGCGTGCACGTGCGTGTGCCTTTTTTTTAATTGCACAAATCTGGGGACGTTATTCTGAGAAGCACGTTCCATGGGCGAACCATGAATTGTAAAGCAGCAGTGACAAGTGCATTACATGTTGTTGAGGAAGTAAAGGTCAGGGTGTCTTGTCCTCACCAGTCATCCAGTAACTGCCACTGCATACAAACTAGCATGCACATACAAACTTTTTCTTCAGAAAGTGCTTCACATTTTCAACCAAACCCTCAAGATGAATTGTTCTTTATGGAAGTACTTGACAGTTTACAGACAAAAAGTCTGAAATAATGTGGTTGAATACACATTATTCATTTATTCATGTATCTATCTTTACTGCATGTACTCTGGCCTTAGATATGTTAAATAAAATACTAATACTGAATATTTGGCAGATATACGCGCTGTCTCTCTCCCTCCCTCCCCTTTCCTGTCCATCTTGAGCTGTCCTATCAAATAAAGGCGAAACGTGGCCAACGCAGCCCGTAATATCGGAGAATAAGATGCAGGATCCTGCGTGAAATCTCATCAAACAGCTGCAAGAATGGGGAAAAAAAGTAGGCACGGAGGACAATAGAGGTGGATTCATATCTCTGAATGTCTGTGTGGCATTAGACAGAGGCCTGCACTTCATTACTGTTCCCTGGCTCAGCCTTCACTAGCCCCTGCTGCACACATCACAAAGACTGCTCATTATCCACTGAGTCCTCGTGGTGCCGCTGAGACCCACTCGGTGCTGCAGGAACCCAGCTCTGCACTGCCAGGATAATCCCCACCCCACCCACCCACATCCCCGCAGTCTGTGAAGACCCACAATGGGGATGTGCAGGGAGGCTGTCTGTCCTGATGGCGAATCAGGGGAGCCAGAGACGGTTCCTCAGCAAACACTGACTGCCATTCAATATGCTCTCATCAATAACTCGTTCAGGGAGCATGCTTGTCTACCCGTGTAATGTATTTCCCTAATTATGACCGTGGCCTCCACAAAAAATTGGTTTGTCTCTGGCTTAGCTGCTAAATTGTGTAGAGATTAGGCCAACTCCTTGACCTCTAAACTGGAAGGATTGGCTAACTGGAGGCATTATACAGATAGATATGAGATGGCTTAGTCATATTGATTCTGCACTGTCCGGAGAGATATCAGGCTTTTTATAATCAATAACTCTTGAGGAATCGTTCCTATAGAATTTCTCCTGCTCAAGAGATTTTCAAATCCAATCTAATGGAAGGAAGAGCTATCAGTGAGGGAGAATTTAATATTGTCTCAGCTGATCTGCACCCTTGAACTTGAGACTGATAGGAATGTCTGAAAATAGAAAACTGCATCAAAAGCAATTCACCTTGCTTATGCCATTCACAAGTTATTTTTATGCCTCTGAGAGGGTCTCTTACATATTTCTCTATGATAAGTGCAGCTGTCGATACATTCTGGCTTTGGGTTTGAATGGATGGATCAACTTCACACTCACACAGGATGTCTGATTCAAAGACGCACAGCTGAACCTAAACCTTATATTTGTTTTATATTAATATATAAGTATAAACAGTGTAGCAATCCACACTTTAGTACATATCTGCTTAATTACAAGATGGTGGATAACACTATATGCAACAATTGCAGTTCATAAAAATATCTTTAGTTATTAAGAGTTTGAAGAGGAATGTGTGGGTGTGGTTTGATCAGATTTCACTGACAGTGCTAGCAACACAAGCAAACATCTTGATTCAAATGTAGCTAAACATCCCTTTTCCCAGCTGAGCTTTGAGCCAAACCAGTCTGAAGAGCACACAAACCAGTCTGAAGGGCACGCAAACCAGTCTGAAGGGCACACAAACCAGTCTGAAGGGCACACAAACCAGTCTGAAGGGCACACAAACCAGAGATCTCTTGTGTGGAATGAACAAAACTTTTCTAACTCTGGCAGAAAACAGCGTGTTCATGTAGTGTCATATCTCGTGAGTGAGAGGCTGATAAAGAAAATACGTTTTCGGAGCCTTCAAGGTATGTTAAAATGGTTTATTATCTTTAAATCCCACTCTATTTGGAAATTAAGTGAATATACCTCAGAGGTTATATATTAAAATCATTAATATAGCAGCAAACGGCTATGTAAAGATACAGTGGAGTCATGGCAACCTGAGCAGAGAATGATGTCATACTTCCTTTGCCTGTGTTGCTATCACATCCTCTCTCTGGTTTACTTACCGCCGATCTGCTCCGTGTACCAAACCGGCGCTGGTGATTGTTGGGAGAGTGGAAAGACTAACAGCCCGTTTTGGTGAGTTTTATTTTATTTCTGTCCACTTTGAATTAAGTTACGATGTACGAGGTAAAAGTACTGTTTTTGGCTCTTGAGTACGTGCGAGCGATGGCGATATTACGGCTGTCTCTGGTTAAACAAAAGGTCTAACTCTAGGGATCCTGAATGTTTTCAGACAGTCAGAATAATAATCTGAGCCTGTCAGTGGCAAAGACCAGCACTTTTAGTGGACGTGGATCTAACTGGCTAAATTAAAGGTTTATTTCGACCTAACCAGCGTTGGTGATTGTTGGAAAGACTAACACAGATGGTTTTAGTGAGTTTTATTGTATTTCAGTTCCATTGTTTTGGTCTGAGATGCTGGTGCTTTAGCACAACATCCAGTAAATGTATAACCTATAAAATAAGAATTGGTCATGGCTATACAGAAATATAGAAATTTTTAATTACTGGAAGGACTCAACAAACCATTATAGCACAGATCCCATGTTTTTGCTCAGTCAGACAAGCCCATTTGGTATTGATATTTTCCAGACATCTCAGAAGGATAAATACAGTTTAATTTTTCATGTCTCTCCTTCCATCCAAAACATTTAGGACTGTTTCCCAAATGTGCCACTGTGAGGCAGTAGAGCTCTTTGTTGTGTTGGGTGATACGCCTTGTTTTCCCACTCATGCCATTTAGTTCTGGTGGGCATACAATCAATATGGACACCACAAAAGCCTATCACCATTTTCAGAGTGGCACAGTGTCCTTGCCTTTCTGATGGAAGGCTTTTACCAGGCACTTTACATGGTTAAAGCGAAAACTAATCACATTCTCAGAGTTTGTCTTCAAAGACGGTTTTGTTGTGAAAATCACACACAGTATTTCACACTGATTTTTCCATTATCCAGCTGAGTGGGATGTCAGTGTGATGACCGGCTCAGATCAATAGTGTGCTGTTGGTGAGGACTTGAATTGTTAGATCTAAGGCTGTACACTCTTCAATATGAGAGGGGGGGAGATGGTTTTGTTTTGTTGGAGTAATTGAGAGTGATCACGCATCTTGTACATGCCACATAAAGAGCACGTGTAAGGTTATCACATTTATGCTTGCAGCAGGTCTTCACGGAAGGATGAAAGCAGCGTCGTGTTAACTGACTGGCCTTGCTGTGCAGTGGCAGGACGTAACGCGTGACAAAAGTGTCCGAGCCATTTTTGCACACACTGAAGTCTGACTGCATGGTAGCTCCGTTGTGGGACGGGAACAAGTCAGTCAAACAGCCTTGCAGGGGAGGCCGGGCCTGGTGAGAGGGGGATGAGCCAGAATCAGGAGGGAAGAGAAAGCAGGGGAGTG